ATGGCCGTCGGCGACGACTGCGGGTCCGGCCTATGGCTGTACATCGTTGTGAGCGTGGCTAGCTTCGTCGCCCTCCTCGTGAGGACCCTGCTCATCACGTCCGGCAGCCTTCGGGCATCCAGGTGTGCGTGTGGTGCAACTAACTAGTCTTTGCGCTCTTCCCGTCTCTGTTGTCCATAGCCCCCTCTCGCTCTGGTGAAGGTCCGGGTTCCACCGACTATCATCAGGTATCTTACATCATTTTCTTGTTATTTTCGCTGGCCTGTCGAATTTGTTAACTCCAACGCTCTCTCATGCGACAACGTGGTGCAATGTATGACTCCTTGTCGGCTTCGAACGCACCCACACCCACGCCTATAAAAGTAAGACAGCAGAATCTGCGGCCACTTAATCGTGCAATTCGGCCCTGCTTGCAGCACCCAACCCCCCCCCCCCCCCCCCAATAAGGAAAAAATGGGGGAACAGGGTTAAAAAGGGGGGAAATGGGATCCAAAGGAAATATGGGCTAGGGAAAAAATTTTTGAACTACCTGGGGCAAAATAAGAAAGAAAGATTGGGTGTTGGCGAACTGTACTGGAGGAACAATGGTCGTCCCCTCCAGGACGCCCTGGTCAATGGTCTAACCCCCAAGTCATGCTCAACGTAAGGGTACGCCCCCCCCCCGGCGATCGATTGCACAGCACGGTGCACAAGGACATGGCGCGAAGCGTGTTCGGGGCGCCGGTGAGCTGGTACGACGCCACGCCTCTCGGCCGCATCTTCAACCGCTTCAGCTCGGATATCATCACGCTGGACAAGGACCTCATGAACGACGTCTCGAGCTACTCCGACATGGTATGTGTTATGTATGACAGCGACCGTAGTCGACCCTGGGCAAGCAAAGCTGTCAGCACGAAGATTGTTGCTCTCCTTTGCGCGTTTCTCAAGCAAGCGCTCTCTCGCCTGTGAGCAGGGGTATCGTTTTTCTTGAGAAAGTACAGTAGTGCGCGTGGAGCTGTCTTCGTCATTGCATGTGACGGGCATTCCTTGGGTATGATGTCATTCACGAGCACCTATGCATACAGCAATAGCGGCAATGGTCCATAGGAGAGAGGGTACATTAGAAAGTACAATTTTGAGATGTTGAAAAGTGCGCGGCTTGTCCTGGCTATGAGCAGTACATAGATTGCATAGCAGCGGTTTCTTAAGACAACAACGGGTTTAATAGATATTGAGCGTGGTTGCCTTGTCCCGACCCTCTTTTTTTAAACCTCAGCCGCTTCTTCTGTCGGGGAACGTGAACAGGTGGTACAGTAGTCTGGCACGGTGTGACTGTATGTGTGGCGTGCAGGCTACAACAGGCTTGTGTCGCGACAGAACCGGCGACATCCTTGCAACATCTACTCCTGTCTTTTCTTGGGGAGACCTCGAGAGGAAGAGGATCGCCGCTCCTCTCTTTAGAGTCTTGACAGTCCAGTCAGACGTTCGTACATGCCATGTACGCGCCCGGCGCTGCCAACGGTAGCATGCAAGTGTCGGCCTCTTTTCACTCGTTTGTCTGCACCCACGTGTGTGGTGGCATGAAATTTCGCAACCCTTCGACAGGACCCCCCCCCCCCCCCTCG